TACACCGTTCAAACTAGGCTGCTTATGTTGAAGTGTTCGGGATGTGGTTTTTAATGATGAGACCTTTTTTGTAATCAGGCTCTCAAAAAGTATATAACAATTTGGATATAGATTTATCGGCCAACATATCGGTTATCGGCTTTAAAAAATAAAGAATAATCGGTTATCGGTATCGGCCAAAATTTTCATATCGGTGCATCCCTATTTATAAAGTGGGCCTAAAGTGTGAAATTCTCTAAAATCTTAGCAATTTTTCCAAATTATATTTTCATTTGATTTATTTAATTTATAATAAATTAAATCAAATGAATTAATAAGTGATATAATAGTATATTATAATAAATAATTATTATTTTTAGAAATGTATATATAATAAAAATAAATCATAATTATAAATAAAAAAAGACTTTATTTACTTATAAAGTGGACCCAAATAGTGTAAAATTCTCTAAAAATGTTAGTGATTTTCTCCAATTGATAATATTTTTAATTTAATGTATAAAAAAACGAAATATATTAATTTTCTTTATTTATAAAGTGGACCCAAATTGTGTAAAATTCTCAATTTTTTCCAAATGATAATATTTTAATTTATAATAAATAAAATAAAATTCATTAATATGTGATATAATAGTACATAAATTATAATACATTCATGAAAAATTTATTATATTTACTATATCATTTTATAATACATATATTTATTGATAATTAGAATTGAAAATTAAATATATTCATTTAAATTGTATGATATATATATATATATATATATATATAGCATAACAAATAAATTATAATACATTTGTAATGCATTATAATTTCAACTTAAATTTTATAACAAAAATATATTCATTTTAGTTGTTTATAAAGGCACGTATGTAAACATGTCCATAAATATTAAAGGAGAAAACAAATACACCTTTAAATGAGCTTTAAACAGTTTAAACACATTATATATTTGACTGAAACTCACAGCTTAGTTGATTTTTTACTTGACAAAGGAGAAAACCCATATAAAAGTCAGGGATTGGAGGTGGTACCTGTCACAAATCCAGCCCTTGTTGCTCATTGGTCGCTTGCAGTTGCTGCAGTTGATGTGTAAGGTGGTGGAGGCTTGATTCAGACACATGATGGCGCCGCACGTGCTCAGTTTGATCACCTCGTTACTGACGTTCCACAGCTCGAAGCGCTGCAGCAGGTCGATGTAGGACATGTACCAGTGCTCCTGAAACACAAACACACACAGATTAAAACATCACGGCTGGATCCGAAATCACCCCCTATACCCTCATTTCCTACATTAGTCCACTCATACAGTTCACTAGAAGGAGTGAATGAAAACCAGTGAGTGCATTCGGACACTGAGTGCACCGGAAGGACTGCCGCTTTGGCATAGTTTGCCTGCTGTTTAATAATCATTTGAAATGGGCAGCTCCAGTAGTAAGATTAAAGGATTTATCTTGAACTCTGTCACGGAAATTATGTATAAACCCTAGTTCAACAATTTAATAGTCAATTTAGAGCGCTTTTAAAATGAATGAATGGATGATTCAGCTGTGAGCACCATCTTCTGGCAAGATGCGACTCTCATTATGTGCATTAGTGCATTATGGGTTATCTCTAGCCGTTGAGTGTACATCGGTTGTACACTCGTTTTTGCTGTGCATTGTGGAATTGAGTGACTCCACTCGAGAACGCCCACTATGGTTTCGGACACCACTAAAAATGACTGTACCCTATTTGAGGGTATAGGGGGTGATTTCGGATACAGCCCAGATGAAGAAAGCTACACTTCCTGTCAAAGGCGGGCGGTTTTCCTCACCTGCATGAGCTCGTCGATCTCCTTACGGATGCGGTCGCCCAGTACGATTAGCACGGACACAGCCATCTGCACGTCGCCCTGCTCGGCGTAGTAGCACAGCATCTCCTTCACGATGGGGCAGAAGAACTTGGGCGGCAGGTGAGGCGAGAACAGCAGCTGCGAGACGGAAATGAGACTGAAGGACTCCATGGGAGTCAGACACGTGCTCTCGGCTTCGCTCCCGCTGACGTGGGGCGACTCGGGCTTCTCCTGCACCGGCTCCGGGGCCGAGGGATGGTCCATGATCTCGTGCCGTAAGGGGAACGCCTCCTGAGGGAGCAGGTACTCGGGCTCCTCTGCTGGAGAGACCACAGTCTTTTCATTTCAAGATATGCTTGGATGTGTTGACTTGACTTGATTTCATTTTTATTGCCACATCAGTTTCACAGGCTATTTCATGCCAAACAAAGATTATACATTAGAAAAACAATACAGTAGTACACAATACAAAAATTTAAATAAAGCAATTATAAAAAAAATTTAAAGATTCTTTAAATTTACTTTTGAAAGTTTTTCTGGGTCCATCTTATAAAACAAGTCCTTAAGAGTTTGTCCTGATAATAACTTTTGTCTCATGACATTAAATATTAGGCAGTCCAAAAGCACGTATCACAGTCAATACTGACATTTTGGTGCTTCTTGACCAACCTGCCTGGTTGTCGTGCTCCATGCTGTAGAGATCATCGTCGTCCAGTTCAGCGTCTCCAAACAGATACTCGGCCTGACCCTCGCTGCCCTCCGTCTCCTCGTTCTCTGCATACAGAAACACATCTTTATACACTGTTTGTAAGGATTTCCTGGCAGCTACAAATCTGGACTGAAGGAGTAATTACAACATTACATATTCAAGAATCACACATCAAAATCCATCTTTATAATAACTGAGGCAACTCATTAACCCTGAAGTGTTTAAAGGGTTAGTTCACAGAAAAAAGTACAATTCTCTCATCATTTACAGGTCGTTCCCAATCTGTACGACCTACCCCCGGATTCACAGACAAGGCTTAAGCCTAGTCCCAGACTAAAATGTAAGTCTGAGCTGTTTAAACTGAAAGAAACTTGCACTGGTTGATCTTAAAATGTGACCCTGGACCACAAAACCAGTCATAAGGGTCAATTTTTCGAAAATGAGATTTATACATCATCTGAAAGCTGAATAAATAAGCTCTCCATTGACGTGTGGTTTGTTAGGATAGAACAATATTTGGCTGAGATACAACTCTGAAAATCTGGAATCTGAGGGTGCAAAAAAAAAATCGAAATATTGAGAGAATCGCCTTTAAAGTTGTCCAAATGAAGTTCTTAGCAATGCATATTACTAATTAAAAATTTTAATATATTTACAGTAGGAAATTTACAAAATATTTTCATGGAACATGATCTTTACTTAATATCCTAATGATTTTTGGCATAAAAGAAAAATCTATAATTTTGACCCATACAATGTATTGTTGGCTATTGCTACAAATATACCCCAGCGACTAATGACTGCTTTTGTGCTCCAGGGTCACATATATATCAATGCCTTTGTTTTGTCTCAAGAGGGACACCAGTAATGTTTTTTTCTAAGGCACGTTTATAAAAATGACTTAAATGTCCTTGAACTATGGCCTAATCCTTGCTCAGTCTTAACACTGTCTGTGAAACCAGGCCTTTATGTCTTCTGTGGAACATAAAAGGAGATGTTTAGCAGAATGTCCAAGTTGAAAATGCACCATAAAAGGAACTCATATGACTTGTGTAGTACTGTATATTCCGTCTTCTGAAGTCATACGATTGGTTTTCTAGAGGAACAGACTTAAACTGAATCCGTTGCTCAATGTCGATCAAATAGGTTTGGAATGATGAAAGAATCGTTATTTTTGGGTGACCTATCAATGTTACAAATGTTTTGTGTTTTCTTGAGAAACTTTGCATTCGCTTGCAAAACTACTGTGTTCTTTGACAGCAAAGTTTAATGGGCAAACAGAATGGTTTTGCGAGCAAATGTAAATGCAAAGTTTTGCTGGAAAAGGCAGTGATTTTTCAGAATCAGAATCAGAATGAGCTTTATTGCCAGGTATGTTTTCACATACGAGGATTTTGTTTTCATGACAGAAGCTTCCGCAGTGCAACAGAATGACAGTGACAGAACAAAAAACACAGATAATAAAAGAAGAATAAAAAAATACAAAATAGAACAAGTAAATAAAGAATAACAATATATAAATTGACAATTGTATGTGCAGGTATATTACAATAGACAGTTTTGTATGTACAGGCATATTATGTGCAAATTTGAGGTGTAGACCGAGTATGTGTGTTAGATAAATACGATTTTGTTGATTTTGTGAACAATGCAAAGTTTCTCGGTGAAACACAAAGGTTTGCAAGGAAACGCAACGGTTTTCTGGGAAATCAAAGGTTTTGCATGCAAACGCAAAGTTTATTGGGGAAACAAAGGTTTGCGAGGAAAAGCAACGTTTCCCTGGAAAATTAAAAGGTTTTGCGAACAAACGCAAAGTTTCTTGGGGAAACAAACGTTTTGTGAGCGGATGCAGGGTGTCTCGGGAAAAATACAAAAGTTGCAAGCAAACACAAAGCTTCTCGGGTTTTACACGCAAATACAACGTTTCTTGTGGAAACATTTAAACATACATTTTTAAAGCTAATGTAAAGTTTCTCGTAAATTTTACTGGGAAAAAGCAAAGGTTTTGCAATTGAACACAATATTAGGGACCCAAACGTTCTGTGAGCAAAAGTGAAGTTTCTCATTTATCTCATTTCATTTATTGGGGAAAAAGCTAATGTTTTATGAATGAAAGCAAATGCAAAATTTCTCAGGAAACGTAAATGTTTTGTGATCGAAGGCAACGTTTCTTTGGGGAATGCAGACGTTTAGAGAGAGCAAGCACAAAGTTTGCTCTGTAAACACAATCTAGCTGATTGTAACTTGGCACATGTTGCATTTCTCTTTTATTGGCCTCTCATCAGGATGTGCTGCGTGTTTATATGTCTGCGTCTCACCGTCATTGTTGTTGAGGTTGGTCTCCAGGCTGTGGAGGTTGTCTTGTCTGTTTTCTTTGTTTCTCTCATTGAGAGCAGCGCTCATCTCCTTCATACTGAAGCTGCAGTACAGGAAGCAGGAAAAAGATAAGTATCGATGAATGATATAAGAGTTAGGATTCAGAAATGAAAAATCACATGTGGTAATAGCAGTACCTGTTGACGAGTGGGAGGTTTCCTGATTTATTCAGGCTGTGATTGGTTGACAGGGACGGATTAGCCGGCTCTGAAAACATGATTCGCAGCATTGTCCATGTGGTTGATTCCTGGATAGTACAAACACATAAAATAAGAACTTTTGTGAATTAATCCAAAGCTAATCTTTCAGTATTCATCATAAAAATATGCATTCAACTAAAAAAATAAACATGGAAGCCTACATTAGATCATTTTATACTGGTCTTATGCACTATATACATTTTTATTTATTTATTGCAAAATGTATTAATTCAATGTTTTACTTTATTTAGTTAACTTACATATAAGGAATATTTATTATATATATTTATTTTTATTAAAGTTTTTTTTCAATAACAGAGAACCATGAACATGCTAATGTGGCCTAAAATCATTGAGATATTAACTTAACATCTCAGGGGGGACTTCAAGAAAATATTGTAGGTCAAAGAAGTTCAGCTGACAAAAAAGGTTGAAATACAAACCCCATCAAAATCAATCTGTACCTGCGGTCTGTTGAGTCTCTTGGCGACTTGAGCGTTGTGCTCACAGAGTTCGGCGAAGGGTTTCCCGCTCAGCAGGTAACTCTGCGCGGTGTTAATGAACCAGTCCATCCCGACACTGCTGCCCGCTTCACTCTCAAACACACTGAGCGCACTCGACACCTGCGCAAACTGCTCCCTCACATCGGGCTTCTTGAAGAAGAAGATGGGGTACCGCCGATCGCCACCCGGGTAGGTTTTACGCCCCCCGTCCCCTACAGATTGGGGAGCTGTAAAGAAATACAATGTTCTGTTAAGAGATACAATGTAGTATTAACACCAAAAAAAGCATGAGAAACGAATAACTACACACTTACAAGGGTTTGACAAAAAGACATAGGATGTACAATAAATAAATAAATATCGTAACATAACAAAAAATATCTGGTATCTCTGCAGCTAATTTTGAATGCAAAAATATGTTGGTCAAATCGCACCCTAACACAACAGAAATAACACAATAAAATAGATGGGAATTATTACATTTCTCACATTTGATATTTTTTAGTCTCTAACAAACTAGAGGTTTTCTATGGAAGCCCATTTCTGCCACTGAATAAAAAATTTAAAAAAGGTAATTGCAACTTTTTATCTCACAATTTTGACTGTTTTCTCAGAATTGCGTGCTATAAACTCACAGTTGCGAGTTATAAAGTCAGTACTGTGTGATAAACTTGTAATTCTGAGAAATAAAGTCAGAATTGCGAGATATAAACTCACAATTGTGATATTTTTTAAAATCTCAGAATTTAAACGATATTATTATTTAAGATTTAAAACTCGATTTAAACTTGCAATTGCGAGTTATAAAGTCCAA